AGTTACTCCTTATATAATTACCGTTAATTACTTTACTTTTATTGCCTGAATATTTTTTACTTCCTTTATAAACGCAAACCATCCCTCAGTAGTTAAGAAAAAATCAAAAGAAAAAAAAAGTTGTCCACACCAAGATTCGAAATACTGACGCTTCATTCCGACACAGGGAGCCCTCGCATCCGTTTAGAATATATATGAAGAAAAAATTTTAAAACCAACCTCCATTTTGAATTTTTAGATACGCGATTTGCTAGTGTGAGGCCTGAAACCGAAATCTGAAACGGACGGGAAAATTGGCAAATCCTCGAAGGATTCGATCGCTGTTCCGTAAGTTCGGTTCCAGACCTCGCACTAGCAAACCGCGTATTCAACATTCAAAATGGCCGCCACAAAACATCTTCATATTCTAAACGGATGTGACGGCTACCTGTGCTCCTGTGCTTGAGTGCGAAGACTGCATGCTCGGAGGAATGCTCGGAGGAAGCTCGGAGGCTGTATCCACGCAGCCCTCTCCCTCCCCTCCCCTCCCGTTTTACCCTGCTATCTCCCTCTGGTCTGCGGGTGTAATGTCTTTTTGCGATTTTGCACGTGGGCAAGTGAATTACAATTCAAAGGTTTGTTATTTGTTTTGAAGCGATTTAAGCCAGTAAAATACTTGATGTGAGACATAAGGTAACCTTTTTTTCCTTTTTGTGCATGTCAAAGCCAGGACGAGGAATGAGGAGACGTTTTGCTAGTTGATCAATGAATGCTCTGCACGATGAAGGTTAGCTGAAACTCACAAACCTTGAATTTACAATGTGACTGTGTTTCAGTTTGATTTAATGTAAGCTTAAGCTTAAACTACTAGAAGAGGTATAATATATAAGCATAAGTAGAAAAACAAAGCGACAAATTCTACACCTGCCAACTTTCACACCTTTTGGCCTGAGTCTCAAGCTTGAAGTTCGAACTCTTACGCGATCTCACGTCCGAAAAAAATGGAGCTATTACAGCCTTTACTGCTCATTATCAAGAAATATAAGCTTATGTTGTGGATCAATTTTACCCTTGCCAGTACAATTTGACAGTTTCGTTTGTTCTAGTACATGTACATGGTAATATATTATAATGTTAGTCATTGAAACAAAGCAAGCTGTACCAAATTGGACCAAACGTAATATTGAACCACAACTTGAGTTGTATATGAACTTGAATTAATGAAAGAAACGGAAAGTTCATGTTAAGGTTGGTACAAATCACATGATTTCCGGTACAATCTGGAATAAATAATCATACATTAATTTTCAAAGGCTAACAAAATTGCAGGAGCCTGTAGTGCCAGTGCAATTTATAGACTTTGAAAAATTTGTGTTTATTTATTGCAAAAATCAAAAGAAAAATCACGTGATTACTTATTGATAAAATATAAGTGGCAATGTCTGCCATGTTTTGGTAATTTTCATTGCAAATTCTGATGTCAAACTCCAAAACATTTGACCTGTTCATTCAAGGGTAAATAATATTCATTCACTCCCTTCAAGACCTGCATGAAGATAAGTCTTTCCTGCCTGTTAGATTTAAAAAAAATTGAGAACAAACTAAAGGGAAAATGCACGGGTCTTCAAATGTTCTCTAGGCTTAGCCGTATGTCATGGGTTTGTGAAACACTGCACCATGTAAATCGATGAGGAACAGGAAGCTCTTCAACGTTCAAGTTATGATGCTAGAACGCACACTGAAAATACTGAGCTAAAATCAACCAAATGGCTAATTATTACTGTAGAGTACTGAAGTCTTTTAACAATTAATTTTTGACAAGGATTTTGCAAAGCCATAGTTTTCATCTCAACCACATTTCAAGCAACTCTTAGCCAATGAGACTGCAGAAATTGCTGCTTGTATATTGATATCAAAGGAAAAGTATTGGCAACAGCTTTAGATTTTAAGAAAGTGCGTCTTGGGACTGGGATCATCAATGCTCATATCCTTTTTCAGTAATCTTTGAGATGTCTTTGGAGAAAGTTGGCAGCTGTAAAATTCTAAGGTGTACGTTTATACAGTCTTTGTAATATTAGAAATCCTAATAATTCAAGCTGGGTCTGTTACAAGTGCAGACTTAGGTTCAAGTACAAAATCAAATTTGTTACTTATTACCATGTGGATTTGCCTGTATATATAGTAGTATGGATTCCTTGTTCTCAGCTTAGTTGTTAGAGAGGAATGGTTATAAAGCCTCGCAAAGATCAAAAGAGCAAACAAAGATGGCTCTATGTATTTTAGAAGATCCATAACTGTGCACAATCTTTTATGCATGGTCAAGGCCAAAAAAGTGAATGAATACTTACAAAAAAGAACTTTGTTGGGTTTCATAACCACTTCCCTCTAGTAACTATGTTCTCAGGTATTAAATTTATCAAAGTGAAAGAAAATGGCCCTTTCTCACTGTTATGCATAGGTCAGTTCGTGCAGTGCTCACCCCCCCCCGCCCCCCTCCCAGGTCAACTCCTTGTATACACACACTGAAGGATGGGATTTCTAGTCTTGCAGTATATGCATATATGGAAATTTGTTGTGTAGACAGGACAGATTTGTGTATGGAAGGCAAAGCAAGAATCTTGCAATGCTTTGTTTGAGAATAAACAATAAATTGTTCATTTGTAATCAGACCAGAGGTGTTTAAGCAGTACAGATACTCAAGTGGGCATTAATTGTCAAATGACATAGGAAATACTTACACATTTTTCTGAGCCCACCAAACAGTATACGCTCTTTGTTTTTTAATAAGAATACATTTTATAAGAATATCGAGGCTGAAATTTGCAAAATTTTAAGAATAGTTTACAGTGTGACTACTCTGACTAAGGCCACTTAAGCAAATTCTTCGCAAATAGACCACTGGCATTTTAAAAGTTTTAACACAAATCTGTTGCCACTGTAATGTACAGCTTGATTACGTGGATAATTTGTTGGAAAACTATTGTTAATCTCCGTGATTTTCATTTGTTAAATCTGAATAAAATTTTGTCAGGCCACCTTGGTTTGAGTAGTTGCACCTTAAGAATAAACCCAAGGCTGAGATTTTGAAAGAATAATATTGTGTGTTGAAAATTTGTAAATACTATACAATTTATATATATTTATAGTAAATTGTATAAAATTCTTCTTTTCTCTAAACAGCAAAATATGCCAAAAAGCAACAAAAACAGCACTAGCTGAGTGTACATTTGATACTGATGACATTTCTTTATAATTATTAGGCCTTTTAAGGCCTTAAAAGGCCTGCAGGCTGGCTCCAATTACCTTTGAAGGCAGAAATGTGATACACTATAATCTAAGAATATTTACAGGAATATTTTCAGCCTAAAATTGGCAGAAAAATAAGAATATCGAGTCTCAGCTGGAAAAACAATATTCGTATAAATTAATAAAGACCTGTAATGGTGAACCTAGCAAGAAATCCATTCTGACTTATCAACAGAGAAACTTTGAATGGTCCAACAGTAAAGCATTAAGTTTAATAATTAGTGATTTAGTACAGTCTTATTACAAAAACCATTTTCAAACCAGTTTCAAAACACCTCTGAACCCAATGGCAAAAATAATATTTTACTGTGCATTTCACAAAACTTTAACGACAAACGGTTTCCGAAGTTTGTTTTAAATAATTGCACCTGTAGCAAAGTTTGGAATTTGGGAAGTTCAAGTTGCTTGACCCCCATTATTCCATTTCTTGTCTTGCATGTATCTTGGTTATGGCAGACTTGTCAAATTAGATGGCTACATTTAGGGACAAAATGGACCAAAAAACACATCACCCAATTTTTGAAACACTCTTGACCAATTTACGAGGAGGCTTCAACTAAAACCTCTTACTTTGGATCAAGTCGAGGAGATGTTTTTGAAGGAACTGAACTTACCTTTAGGCACATCAAGTAGATTTCCTATAGGAAGAATCACCGCTGCCAATTAGAGGGAAGAGAGCAGAGTGAAGAACAATCGATGGAACAGCTCTATCTACCCAACTGAGAAATGCAGTTGAAGGTGGAAACACTCTGGGCAATTGTGTGGTACTGCAAATGAATTACTGCTTACGTGTGCCACGTGCAATTCACTTTTACTGTCAGAACTTAAATTCGAGCTTGAACAGTGCCGTTTTCTTTTTTTAATCTTCTTACTATTGCATTTGCATTTTCTCTGTTGGAAGTCATCGTTTACTGGTACTTCTGAAATGTAAAGTTTTGACAAATGACTCGATTTGCATCTGGTTTACAGAAGAAATGGAAATACAAAAGTTCAACGAATGGCATTGATACGTGCTGTTGTTTCACGCTATTTCTAGAATGATGTATATTCCTGAAAGAAAAACAGTTTTTTCAATATCTCTGTTAGATTTTTAATGTACACGCAAAATACTTTAATTTAAACCACTATCCGTGGAAGTTCTTCCTGAATTAGCTACATGTACCTGAGAAACTGACACGACAGAAATTGTATTCTATTTTAGGCAGGTGTTGGGTGACATCTGGGAAAACTCAGTTGTAAAATTTTACAGAAGGATCAGCAAATAAGTCAATCCACTGCACCAGAAATTCACAACTTTGTTTCTAAGTTCGCGATTTGATTGATAACTACGTAATGAAATTGCCAAGTTCATAGCGAACTTCAGGAATTTCAAACAAATTTCAGAAACCTTTTGACAAAAGTTTTGTGAAACACACTGTAAACCCAGCAAATAAAACAATTCTGAATGGTCCAGCAACAAAAATAAGTTTCTTCAATTAACCCAGCAACAGATTTGACTCTAAAGCTTGCTACGATTTTTTTAAAATTATAATTTCAAACTGGGAAACAAAGCAAACTGAATTTGGCTCATGCAGCAACAACTCAGAATGATTCAGCGATAAATAAAAATGTTTAACCCAGTGGCAAAAAAATTGATAATCAAACCCAGCATGGGCACAAAAACTACAGTGCCTTGAACACAGTGATCAATTAAACCAAGCACAAAATTTTCAAATTGTTTCAACAGCAATGAAAAATTCTTTTTTTTATTTTTAACCCAGCAGCAGAACTTAGTTTTGAACTAAGCAATGAGATTGTTGTATATTTTAATTTCAAGTGATGAGAATGAACTGTCAAAGCAAACAGCTATTAAATGAACAGCTAATCAACGGATGAGAAAAGGATGTTCCAGCTGTTTAAAACAGTTTCAAATAATGTTGGAATGGCCATGGAAAAATTTCGAATGGATACCGTAAAATTTCGAAAGACACTAGAAGCATTTCATGATTTTTCACAGAAATATAGTATGAATAGTCAAAAGATGTTAATAGTGCTAGAATTAACAGTCATCAGACCTTGTGTAACCAAATTTTTTAAAGTGTTCTGACTAATTTTTCATTATGATCGACCATGCTGAGAGAGCTCCTATTGCAAATGAGTTGGCTATTGGTTATGAAGATTTTGTTTGCAGATGGTGTTTGCTTTGAAACATGTTTTGCTTTCAATAATGGCCTTTCCAGACTTTTGAAATTACCCTACAATGCATTGCAAAGCACACTTGTTACTTCATGTGTGGCTACAGATTGAGTCATCAGATTATTTGTGTTTACAAATTATGTAATAATTATTTTGTCCAAATCGCTATGTAATAAATTTTTTTCGGCACTGTGCTAAGGTTTACAAAAAGAGCTATTCACGATCAGTTGTGAAAGAGAAAGCCAAGTAATTAACCATGTAGATGTTTTTTTGTCAGTTTTGCATGATGTTTCCTAAAATGATTTGTGAGAATTCTTTAACTTATTGGCAGTTATTAAGTTTTTAACAATCATATAACCTGTTTGAAAGGTATTTGGGAAAAAGAGTTGAAGAAAATTAAAAGCAGCATGTCTCATTCTTGTCTTTATTAAACTCAAAAATCTGTGTACAAAGAGTAGAAACAGTCTGCAAAACAGACTGTGTACAAATGTACACATCCCAGTGATGTGTGCATGCAAATTTTACATTGAGTGTTTTCTATTTGTTAGAATTTAGGAGAACCAAGAATCCATGCTAAGTCACTGTTAGATACATACATACAGTATATATATGACTAATGTACAGCAAAATTGTGTAAATATGACCGCCTTGTCTCTATATGTCCGAGAAGACTAGGGCTGTCTCTGATCTTTTTTTTTTTTTTTTTAAGTTGCCAGATGTCAAAATGACAGATTTAGCACTGCAAGAATGGTTTGGTTGGACTTGGAATTTACATGCTCCCTTTAAATTTATTGACATCAGTGTGAACCCTATTCAATGTCATTCAGCTCAGAAAACATTTAGGAGTTGTTGCCTTAATCTATAAATTCCCTATACTATATTGGCATTTGGTTAGGAGAGTTAGTATTTTGAGCTTCGGGGAAACTACATACATATAAATTAAAGGTGACCTAAATTTTGTTTTCTAGATGAGATGTAAACAGGGAACCAAGTGGATCAGAAACTTGGCAATCAGGATTTACATGCTGCAGTTATCCAGGTAAACTAATAAATTACAGTGATTAACAAATATATTACTCTTGATTAATCAGACAAGTAATTACTACTTAGTAGCATTCTTATATATTAACAGTTAAACCATTTTTCAGGGATTTTTTCATGACCTGCAAAAATCTTCACTCAAAATCATTATTACACTCGCACATTTTTTTCAGCAAAATTTGTATTTTAATGAAAAAAATAATTCATTTAGTGGTAAGAAAGATGTCCATCCTTGAAATTCTTTCTCATAAGTGCTAATTTACAAGCCTCTGAAATGTGACAAATTGTCTTCTCTAATTCATTGCGGCCTCTTTTAGCAAGAGTGCCAGTACAAAAGTTGTCTGCTGTGGTAACCTTGAAATTGTACTAAATTCCTCTTTTGCTCTCCATTTCAAATTTGCATTGAATAAACTGGAAACTGGGTTTTAATCCATTTAAATGATTAACTAATTGACTTTGCTAATGGAGAGGTTGATTAGCTGGTTGATGGACTGAGTCAATAGAGAGACTGATCAGCACTTGGAAATTTTTAAGTAGACTTGTGAAGTGTGTCACCACGTTCTTTTCTATGTGCTTCTCTTGCATTCTTTGAAGTTCTGATGACATACTTACATGTATAAAACTCAACAATGTACTTAGGCATATTAACTATTTTCCAATAAAATATTATTGACAAAATATCCAATTGAATTTCTAGTTGATCTGTGAACTGATTTATTCATTGACTATGTACATGCAATTGTTTAAGTATGCAAATCAACTAGTGGAAGTGGCATGGTGATGGATTGACAAACAGACTGACTAACAGGTTAACTCATTGATAAACTGATATGTAGATTATTTGACATACTGACAAGGTGAACTTCTGTAGCAATGAAATAAGTACATGTAGCAATGAGTGCTTGCCCTTTGGACAGTCAGTAAAACAAGTGTAAAGAGTCAGCAAGGTGGTAAAGAGACTAACTGATTGACTGAAAACTGGCAACTGAATATACTAACAGATAAAATGATTGGCTGAATTGCAGACAGACACAGACAGATCAGCAGAAGGGGAGACTGACTGACTGACTGACTGACCTTTAGCTGACTGATTCACTGTAGACTATTTGAGAAGATTATGATTTAACATTATAGATTTCCTCTTACAGTCAAACCTGTATGTAACGGCCCTGTATATAGTGGTCACCCTTTGTATAATGGTCACTGAACAACTTCGCAAAAATTGTCCCTTATAATTGAAGGGGTGAGTGCAAAACCATGCTAAGTGACGATTTGGGTGA